ATGACTTTTTTCTCTATTCTAATTTATTGAAGAAGTGATCACCAGTAAAAATTATAGTTAATCAGGAACCATAAATGTAAATAATAGATTTACTGCGGAGAGGCGGGACCGCACGAAAAGTGGCAAAAAATTGTGGAATTTGCTGCTTGGAAATGTTAAGACTGAGAAAAAATATAGCCTAAAGTGTTCTCAAGGACAAAGGAAGTATGTCAAAAAATATTACGGTACGATATTTTGTGAACTTAGCAGCAAGTAGCGATGCAGCCACTATTACAGAAGGGCTTAAGGTATTAAAATTGAATGCAAATCAGTAGACAGCGAGGCGAAGAATTGTCAAATTGAACGCTAAGGCATAATAAAAGAAGAAATAACCATTTTGATCAAAATACATGTGCGAGAGTGGCGGCATTTTGGTGCATCGCACGAAAATTAAACCGTTGTCTATTGGGATATGTTAGGCCGTTCAGAATGCAATAAAAAACATATTTTTTAAATTTCAATTGAAGGTTATTTGGTCTGACAAGACTAAATTAATCGCTTTCAATCAGATGGCCGGGCATGGTATTGGGTCAAAGACCCAAATTAAGCCCATGCGCAGCATGTAAGGCAAACTGTGAATAACAGTGGTCGGTCAATAATAGTTTGGGGTTGTATTTCAAAAATTTTCTTGGTCTGTTAGTACACATTATACGTAAGGAACAGTATCTGTTCATATTTCAACAAAATTTACAAGATGTAGTCGAAAAATGAGAGTTTCTGCTGAAAAATCACCCAAAACATACTGCATATGTTCGCAAAGACAGGATGCAAAAGCAAAAGTTTGCTATTTTGAAATGACCTCCACAATCCGCGGATATGAATCTCATTGAGAATTTGCGAAAACAACTAAAAGCACAGCTTAATAAGTATCAAAGTCCGTAAAATCGAGTACATGAGCTGTGAAAGCAAACTAAGGATATACCTCCAAAATTTTTACAGAGATACAAATAAGGTATGTCAAATCGCATCCAGGAACTGAAACAAGCAAAAGGGTACTGAACATTGTGTTAGTAGTTCTTTTTTTCGTGAAAATTGTTAAAAAGTTCTTAAAAATATCCGAGTGCAAAACTGTAACATCTGTCTTAATTTACATTTTTGTCTGCTGGTTTTTTTATTGTTGTTGTATTGACTTCAAATCGTTATGAGGCGGAGTAGGGATGTACCAACAAGAATATACAACAAAAGTATGAAAGTCTTTAGAACTTGGAAAGATAGCGATGGCTGAAGTAAAAAGTGTTACCCCATGTTACAGTTTTGCTCGTCACTGTAAGACCGAGCAGGTGCGGAGATGACCCCCCCCCGCAGGCGTTGCACTTGACCGAGGTGGAATTTCCATGCAATCGTCGCTGGCATACGAAGGAGGTGTATATTTCTGGCCCTGGATTTGACTGTTTGCCAACCCTGAGCAGGATACGGAGAAGATGTAGCCCCATTATCGAACAACGTTTGATGGATTTCGCCGACCTAAACGGGGTTAGATCGCCGAAACAACAGTCCTTGGTCGGGTAAAATCCGAGTCATTCCGATACGTAGCACCGGCTGTCGTGGGAATGTTCAACCGATTGTTCATGTGGTTCAGATCTAGCTCTACATTTTGTTTTGTTTTGCCTTGAAAGCAACAACAATTGGTGACCAATCCATCCAATGACCGTCTGCTTAAATGTATGTATATCAGGGGTGTTACTCTGTAAACAGGGCTGCCAACTTGGCTCAAACCGTACCATTTTTGGCCCTATTTTACATCAAATGGAACTTAATTATTCAATTTGGCACAAAGTGCCAAAATGGCACTTTTGAAAAATAGTAATATTTCAATGTATTCTTGTGAAATCTTTTGCTTGTACCTCTTTTTCTCAACTAAAATTTTCTAATTTCAATAGTGTATACAACTGGTTTATTTTATTTTGCTAAATGGGATGAATTAGAAAAAATTGCACCTTTTTGGCACTTTTAATTTTGTATTTGGCACATTTTGGCACTTTTTGATCCTCAATATGGCACTTCATAGCTATGGATAGTTGGCAGCCCTGTCTGTAATGCGATGCGATAGCAAATTGTGAAAATTCGGAATATTGGCACCATACAATGCGACAAGCGCATTGAAAATTGCCCTTTCCGCATTCATTTTTTACCCTTTCACATTTTAGGCGCTCTGTAATGCGTAAACGAAAGCAAAACTGCTTCTTCTATCGCAATTTGCGTTCGATAGCTGTACAGCTAACGCAATCTACAAACTACCTGTAATAAAGAAAGATTTCTAAAATCTTTTGAACCAATATGATATAATATTTTATTTTGTAGGCAGCGATTGCAAAACTAAATGATTTTCGTTATTTATTTCACGAATATACATACATACATAAATACATACATAATTAAGATTCAATATTAAAATTTTTACACATGTATTTTTATAAAAATTTCAATCTATGCAATAACTTATATTAAGTATACCACACTCGAATAATTACTATATGTACTTTTAATAGGTACATACATACATAAAAAAGGGTGTGTTTTATTTGACCGAAATGTAAGCTATTTGTATGGAAGATTTAGCCAACATAATTATATTGGATTGTGGGCCGCTGTGGTGCAGTGGTAAGCAGTGCGCGCTTCCACTCTGCAACGCCTGGGTTCAAGCCCTGGTTAAAGCAACATCGCAAAAAAAAATATAGGAAAAAGGTTTTTTCTTAACAGCGGTCGTCCCTCGGCAGGCAATGGCAAACCTCCGAGTGAATTTCTGCCATGAAAATAAACAGCTTCGGAGTCGGCGTAAAGCTGTAGGTCCCACCGCTTTGTGTGTCAACATCAAGGCGCACGCCACAAATCGGAGGAGAAGCTCGGCCAAACACTAACATATGTGTAAGCGCCAATCTATTATTATTATTGTTATTATTATTATTATTATTATTATTATTATTATTATTATTATATTGGATTATGAAAACCTATCTTGGCTTGTATATTGAACTGACTACAGGCATTGCCATTCGGTGTCAAAAAGATTTTTTCTTCAGCCAATCAGAAAGGGGCAAAGGTTTCCTTTTGACACAACAACGTTAAAAAATGTATACATACTTATGTATTCACAATAATATTAGTAATTAAAAATTTTCAAGAAATATCAAAATTGTTTGCATGTCCGCTTGCCACAACAGAGGCCAATGTGATAATTAGCTACCTCCAACTAAGCATTTTTATATCTCTAAAGGCCGTGTCACACGATTGGGCGTTTGCGCAATATTTGGTGCAAATCGTATCCCAATCGTGTGAATGCACAAATATTTTTCTTTATCCCAACCACGACAAACAATTTGTACAAATTTCTCGATAGAAGTTCGCTGTATTGTACCAATCGTGTGACAACAAAAAAATTGTCGTCCCAATTTTTTCATTTTATACCACTCGTGTGACACGGCCTTTAGGAAATCGCATGCGTAAACAAAACGACTGAATTTGAATACATACTTTAATTTTTTTTTATTTGCAGTCAAACCACTTTCAAAATTAAGCCAACATAGGAAATAATCTAATTGCTTTTATTTGAGCAATATCTAGCTATCAGCTTGTGATGGTTAAAGGAAACACGCCTAATATGTGCTTTTTGTATGTACATACATATGTACGTACATACATATCAAAATCAAAATTTTTTATCAAGTGCATGCTGTGTATGCTAGATAACATACAATCAGGCGCAAAAATTAAAAAAAAAACTGTTTGGCTTAAAGTATAGGGTCAGATAACACTTAAGGTATGCAACGAAAATCATTTACTTCCATTTACTTTTATATCAGTGGTGGTTGCAAAAAGTAAATATGATTGCGACACCACTGCGATAGGGATAGGTTCCGATACCCTTTCGGATCGCATTACAGAGTAACCCCCCAGACCGTATAGTATTTAGTATAACACATTCGTAAAAAGGAAATAAGTATGTATGTATATGACTTGATTACGGATAACAACCAAACTTCAGTTGCGTTGAATTTACAAATTCACCAGTGTAGCTGTCATAAGCATTTAGATTGAGGAAAACTAATTGTCTTTTCGACTTTTATTAACTTGCTTACACTAAATTCTTAACTGCAAATGAGGGTGAGTTGCTACCCGTATACGACCCATTGAAAAATTTCACTTACCTCTGTTTCATCAGACTCGTTTGTTGGGTTTGACGGTTCACTGCCACGAAGAAAATTCATTGCATCAAAGTAATATAAAGTAGTTACGCCATTTGGCGATATTCGTTTACATTCTCTTAGATAGTTGCATCGAATGCCATTAATCTTTTTTTTTACGTCTTTAATTTCACCATCCGGATACCTTTCTTGGAATTTCTGAAGCAAAATTTCATATTGCTTTTTCTTTACATTGCGATCGTGGTAATCTTTACATTTTACATTCCACAGTGCCGGCAGCGAGCGATAAACTCCAATAAATTCAAGTGTGAAATCTCTTTCGTTTTTGCTGCTGCCATTTTGTTGCGCTCCTTTACTACTTGTTGGTATGCTGTCTTCTTCTGTGTCCATATACGTGTACTGCTCTGTTTCATCAAATTCTGAATTATTTTCAGACTTCACAGTTTCTTCTAATTCTTCCTCTAAGGAATGCTAAAATTAGTATTTTAATTGAAAAAAGGGAATATAATTAGTATCATTGCTTATTCGAATAAAATTAATAACAAATTTGGGTGACACCATGATTCATGACGCAAGTAGGAAGAGTATGAAAAGGAGTTTAGTGGTTCAAGCCAATTTAGCTAAAACTATGCTACTAATAACTTCATATCTTAGTTACAATGAAATTTAACCGTCTTAGGGCCATTTTCTCAAGTAACCTGTTTCTTTAAAGTTCACTTTATATTTAAAGGTTGTATTAAAATGTATGATTGTGTTTAAAGTAAAGCATTTTATTATCGGTTTCAAATTGGTTTATAATGCTTAACTTTAGACATAGCTTTATTTTTAATCCAACCTTTAAATATAAAGTGAGCTTTAAAGTTAAAGGTTACTTCAGAAACGGTCTTAGAGATCTTAAGTAAACACACAGATAAGATAGGGAGTCACAAGATGTCGTAATCGTTGAATTGTTTTAAAGTTGTAAATTTGTTTAAGGTTATTGATGGTTAAAATTCTGGTTAGGGCATTCGCAGGGCAAACTAAGAAATATTTATAGATTGTCTATCAGTTTAGCAGTGCGGAGCATTTTTTACATTTTCCAAACACATGTAACTGGGCTCTAAACGCTTCTTGCTGTGAAGTTTTCACACGTGGACCACATACACCCTGTGTTTAGAAATGCATCAAGCCAAAGCATCAGTCTCTTTTATTTCCATCATTGCACAGTGGACTGCCTCATACACAAATGTAAAAAATTTTGATTTTTCAAAAGCAGATTTCTGTAGTGTCTTTTTATAGCAAATATATTGACATTTTATGGTGAATGCCCATTTAAACGCATTTGATACATTAAACGGTACTTTCGCTCTTTCAAACATAACATATGTGAAAAAAGTCATTTGATATGAAAAGTACGTGTAAATTAAGCCAATTCGAATTTTGCGATATTTTGAGTTTAAGTGTTAATAAATCCAAATAACAATGGAAACGCAAGAAACAGGTATGTTCTATGATTTAGTCAAAGAAGAGAAAAGTGAGAACAATTAATTTTTAGCAAAATGCAAGGTGAGTAAATCATGTTACTTTCACGAACGAATATTCAAGAATTCTTACTTGCATTTCAACTTTTAACAAATATGTTCTGACCAGGTTTTATAAGCAGTTATTAGTACCTTCAAATGCACTCTTTAAAAGCCTGTTCATATACTTTCCCTTTATTTCCCTTTTACTTTAAATATCATAATAAACGTAACTACACCTTTTCAACCCAGTAATGAGAATACGTAAATTTATAATGAGAAAACGTAAGCTGATAACGCGGAAACATAAATTTATAATGAGAAATCGTAAATTTATAAGGAGAAATCGTGAATTTATAATGAGATAATTTTCAGCAAAAACAAACCGACTTAAAAAAATATATATATATATATTTCATGACCCAATGATCGGATGTAAACCAGATTAGTATGGGACCACCTCTGAGACACTAACTTTACGATGCAAAAAGAATTATAGAAATCGGTTGACGTGGTCCAAAGTTATGCGGTAACATACATAAAAAAAAAATTAAAAAAAAATTAATAAAAAAATTTAAAAAAATTAATAAAAAAATATTCCGACGAACTGATAACCTCCTCCTTTTTTGGAAGTCGGTTAAAAACGGAAATTAAGCTTACTTAGTAGTTTTTTCCACTTCGCAGTTTTTTCATTGTGCCTAACAATACATAAACTAGATAAATACATATGCATGTAAAAATGCAGTGGCAATATTTGGGAAACAATTAGCTAGATATGCTAATTGTGTGCGATCCGCCTTATTTATGAGTCCTTTTTCGCCTATACGTCTAATGCGCAGTAATGAGACAAAAAGATTGTCGACGCCAAGGAAAAATTACCCGGAGAATTTTGCGCAAGAGCAGCACACAACATTTCACGCATATCCACTTGTGTTGCAAAACATGAGAATGGGTGAATAAAGGCAAAAGAAAAATAATTCTCATTATTTATTTACGTATTCTCATTTTAAATTTACCCTTTCTCATTGTAACTTTAGTTTTTCTCATTATAATTTGGGCAATTAACTATTTCTGCATGAAAAGTCATCTGTAAAAGAAACATACTGTCTTTGCATTGCTTTAACCCAAATGCATTTTAAAGTAGTTGAAATCAAATGCAGAGTCAGACAATCGACTTGCTGCTTGCACACAATTCAAACTGAATATTTGAAAGCACATTTACATATCTGGCCGTGGCTGAGCGTGCAAAGATGTTTGCTGCAATTGGTCGCGGCCAAGAATGTTCATGTTCAAATTTCATTAGGCGAAACATTTAACCTTAAATTTTTAATTTCGGTTTTTCTTAATTATGAAAAAGCATCTGTGAAGTGCAGAGCGAAAGCGTAATCAAACGACTGACTTTAAAGTTTTAAAGTAATTGAAATCAAATACAGAGTCGGATAATTGACTGATGCCCAGGACATCGCCATGTTAAAGTCAACAGTTCGTTCCAAGGAAGAAAGTCAGATCTTCAACTACCTTTGGTAGGTAAAAAACTAGGTGAACATCGATACTTAAACTAGTTGCTTTCCGTAATGGGTGCATACTCAAAATATTTCTAAAAAAAAAATTGAATTAAAAAGCAGCAGAAATTCTTGGTAAATGCGACGAATATGCTTTTCCATTGTCTAACAAACTTATTCGCATTCTCGCCACACTTCCAGCTAAAAATGCTACTTGAGATTCTTTCGCCGGTTAAAAACATGGTTCCCTAGTACCATGAATGCAGAAAGACTGATAGGTCAAGCACTTTTACACGAACACTTAAATAGGTATTGACATTGACACTGAAAGGATAATAAAAAGATTCGCAAGAGGAAAGCGCAAAATCGAGTTTGCTATTTAAGTTTTTATAATCAAAATTCTGAATAAGTTGTAAAGTTACTTAATTACATCGTTCATTTGAAAAACATTGTAAACAAAAAATAAGTATTTACAGTGACTCAAACAAATGACCACGTCTTGATTTTCTTCAAATATTCGTAATGTTTTTCGAGCCAATTTTTTTTGTTATTTTTATATAAAAATATCATCGAAGTTTTCAATTATTGAATTTTCTTAAATTTTCTATAAAATTTGAAACTGTGATTTACATGGTTTTGGTTAAAGTTTAGACGATATTTTTATAGAAAAATAACTGGAAAATATTACGAATATTAAAAAAAAATACGTGGTAGTTTTTTCGAGTCACTGTATATATACATGCATATATAACTTTAATAACAAAGTATAACTTTTTTTGGTGTGTTTTTTTTTTTTTACAAGATAGTATAATTGTTTTGTTACAGGGAACTCTGTAAATGGACCTTGCACAAAACACTGTACTTCGCACTTCATAAAAATTACTCGAACCTCTATTTGCATGAGGGTTCAAGCAGGTTGAATGCTTGTAGGTCACATAGCTTCGATTGGTTAATCCGCTGTGAATCAAGTTAGTAATTTAACGCTATTTGACAGGTTTAACTCAATGCTCCCCTCCAAATAAAATCCTCAATTCGCCAGTGCTTGACGCACAAAAGTACAGCGTTGATTTTTAAAATCGGACTTAAATTACGTCAACTTTTCATATAACGGTAAATTTCGAAAATGCCGAGACTTCGATATTTCGCAATTTAAGTTGATACTCACAACAATCGCTTAAAAGGAAACAACATTACATATTATGGAATTTTGGAAAATGGGAGTGGTGCCACCCACTTATGACTACATAACTTTATCTCATTAAGTGCCATTGACTTATCAATTTTAAAGTATAGTTGTTAAATCATTAGTTAAGTTAATTTATATAAATAATGTATAACTTGAATGCCCTTAGTCTAACTGTACGTACTATCGAAGATGTTTAAAATAGGGGTAAAACCAACCCTTCTCACCATGCTGCAGTAGTTACTGGAAAAGGCGAAATAACTATACGTTTTAATACGTGCGCCGGGTATTTAATCTTCATCAAAACTTTTCTTTAGCTTTTTAATCAGAATTTTTTGTATGCAGTTACAAGGAATACGAAGTTTTAGTATAATAAGTTACAGTTTTAAGCGGCTGAAAAATCGCGTAGATTTTTAATGATTTTTTATTTTTTGTAAGTATGTACACTTATGTTCAGCAAATAAGCCAGCAACGTTTTGATCAATTTTAGCAAATTTTTCTTTTGTTTATTTTGGTTTATATTTCTTTCATAAAATCTACCACAATAATATTTGTAGAAAAACCATATAAAACCACATTTCAAACTTTGTGCAAAAATTATAAAAATCTGGAAAGATGCACCTAAACTTTCAACTTTTTAATCAGATTTTTCAGAATGTCTTTTTAGCGCATTAAACTCCAGAATACTAAAATGCAAGTTTGAAGTTGCTAAAAAATCACGTTGATTTTTGCAATTTTTAACGCATTTTATTCGATACGTTCAAGTGTACAACTGTATTTGACAATTTTCTTCGTATGGAAAAAAGTGCAATACAGTCAGAAAAAAATATCAAAAATTAACGCGATTTTTTAGCAACTTAAAACTTGCACTTTAATATAATAAAATTTTATAAAACTGCATACTGCGAAAATTCTGAAAAATGTGACCAAAAAATTTAAATTGAATTGATTGAAAATTTAGGTGCAACTTTGTATATTTTTTTTTAATTTTTTGCACAAATTTCGAAATGTGAATTTGTATGGTGCTTGTTATCTAATTAACTAGATTTTATGAAAAAGTAATCTGTCTCATTGCGAGTGTCGTGTCGTATTTCGAGAGTCGAATCGTATCGAAAATTGCATGTCATTGCCGAAAATTTCGACTCGACTAGTGTATTAAAACGCAAAAACTTGGCATCACCGAATAGTTTTCGAGAATTTTCGTCGTCATCTTATTTCAGGTCTACAGTGGGCAATGCCAACGTTGTCGAATCGTACAATTTAGCCTAATTTACGAGTTACGCAATG